AAACTGGTTCCAATTCACATAAAAAGCAGCGGCCACCACCCCCCCCCTCTCCCTCACACACGCTCTCCCAGGCCTGGCTTCGCCCCCTACATGTGTCGCGTTATTGAACATGTGTTGTTCCTTTGTCTTCAGTCAGGTGATATTTGGCCGACTCCTTCGTTATTGACTACGTGTATCTACTGTTAAGGTTCGTACACCGTTTATCCTTCATTATTTATTTAGGGAGGTTTGACAGACTTGGTTAATTTAGTTGACCTAGTTGTGAAAAAACTCGCAGCGTTTGGGCGGGTAAAATCTATCCAAGTGTGATTAAATTCACGGCGCAAGGTGTGGCATTCGTAGCTCAAGTGGTAGAGCGTTGGCTGGGTAAAGGCCTTCCCTGCTATGCGGGTTCGACTCCCGCCAAACACCGTGAGTTTCTTCATTATTTGTTTAATAGTAGCGTACTACACCAATTGTTGTTATCACTGGGATTTGACGTACGCGTTACGACTGGGTACAGAGTCAAAGGGCACAAGATATGCGGAACACCTTCATTGTTTACATCGGTATCATCACAGAACGCACATAACTGGTGACCTCTAGCCCTTGAAAACAACCGACACAACAGCACCCATCTTATGAAGTTATGGTTTCAGAGTTTCCCACAAAGTGAACTGAAAGGAATGAAAATTCCGGAGGAGGTCACTTAAAAATAGAACTGTCATCTCCAGGGCACGACATGCTTTATTGAGGATGCGTACCCGGAGCAAGTGGCAGACGTCGGAGGTGTGGCCCGCTTAAACGCGCCAAAATAAGGAAGTGTCGATCATTAAGCTTGACAAATCCTAATTGTGACTATATTTAAAGGGTCAGGTTAATCTCAGAGCAAAAAATGGGCCAAAATGAGGTCACAGAAGTCCAACTCACAGTATGCCTAAAACGTCTCCAGACCTTTCACTACTGCAGTATACACAGCCACGCAGTGAAAGCATGCCACATAAACACTGAATATAGGTTGTCCAAGTAGCGCCCCACCTTTGTGGAGTGAATCACCGGGATAAAGAGGAGTCAGGAAGTACAGTTGATAAGAGAGCTTAGAGGCTGCATAACTTCCGCTACAGTCAATGGCTATATACCTTTTTTTCCTGATTGCATTCTGCTCCACTAAATGGGCTAAGAACACGCCATGATTTACGTCGCACATTTTTTCAGTCAATCCAGGCGGGTTAACAATTCGGCAGTGAGCTCACTGTTTGGACCATGTCTCGCAAGATCGAGAAAACAAGCCTAAGGGAAACCACCAATGATTTCGAATTTTACGGTCCATACGTGGATGACATCTTCTGTCTGAGAGAGCATAGCACTGACAACGACGCCCTGGTCCGGAAGTTTAACAGTGAACATTCATGACTCAAGTTTTCTGCAGAGTCTGAGGTAGATCGCGAGATCGCGTTTCTTGATGGCCTTCTACGAAAAAAAAGGATGGATCTATCCTGGACGCGGCAATGCATCAACTTTCACAGTTTTACTCCCCTAAATATAAAACGAAATTAAGTCTAGTGATTGGCAGCCAAGGTGTGACGGATCTGCTCGTGAAACTGCCGAAACAAAACTCTGGCAGCTGCAGAACACGCTTCTTGAAAACGGCTACCCAGAAAAGTTAATCCTCGGGAATGTTGGCAAACGCACCAAAAAGGTTGCTGCCTTAACCGCGGAAAAGAAAGACTTGCTTATATGATTGGCCTTCTTAAGCGATTCAAAAAGCGGGCTATTTACGCCGACTTCTCAAGACAGCGATCACAAGCGCTTTCCCCGCGGCCAACTTACGCGTATTCTTCACGAACTCTGCCCTCCTACGCTTTTTAGGTAAACATCGACATCCGGTGAAGGCCACCGCGATATGCATTTACTCTTTCACCTGCTCCTGAGAAGTAGGATACACCGGCCGAACGAGGCATTGGAGAAAATGGTCCGTGAACATATACCGACCTGGATAAGTACAGGTGAAACTCGAGTTCTATTCTTATACACATCTATACGAACGAAACCTTTCCGGTTGTCTACCGGACACCAGCTAACGTCTCTAAGGGCCTACGCCAATTGGCGCTAGCAACTGCCGGGGCAGTGGCTATACAGCTATTGCCGAATGAATGCGAAGGTTCGCGATCCAGGTACTTGCATGGATGAGGAAGAAGGCATGGCGAGCATCAGATCAATTAAATCCAGTGCTGTGCTGTCTCTTATGTGGCCGACGCCAGGTGGTGATCATATGTCATCCCTACACCCTGGTGCACGTGAGTTATTTTCACTCCGCGTACTCGACTCGTGACTAGTACTCACAGCTTACCCTAGTCCTTCTCCCAGTTCAATGATTTCTACGTGCCGATATCTCCCTGCGGACAGTATGAGAACGATGAGTTCTAATCATAAGACATTTATAAACCCTGTCCAACTTCCCTATTTTCGGTATAAATGCAAATGTGCAGGCCCGATGATAAATTGCTGAAAATATGTTCACTAAATAGAGTTTTCAACGTCACAGTGAATTGGACCGAAAGTGTGGGCAAGCATTGGCGAGGTGTAAGATGACAACCAGCGAATGACTGTGTCGAAAGTGATCACAAACACACAAAATGTGTAAACATTAAAACGTGCGGATACTGCTACAGCTTTCGTGGGCGGGGAATATTCTATTGGTGGGAAACTGGTCGACGATCGGGGAACAAAACAATTTCATGTATTTCTACGTGAACCGTCCTCACCATTGAATTTACCGCAGTGATTACTTCTGGCTTGGTAACCACCACTTAATGCCTGTAGTGTGCTTAGCAAAAGATTTAGTTTTCGCCATTTTCTTCATATGTACTCAGGCACACCACAAAATGTGAGTGTACAAATTAATTTCAAGAAATGACTTTCCGCATTTGCTTGAACCGCAAATTAATATTACTTTAAAGTACGCCAGAATATCGTGCTTACTCTTGCTGTTAAGATAAACAAAAATCTGATTTGCTCACTTTAATAAGATATTAAACGAAAAGTGGTGACCAGCTGGTTTAGACTCAGGGGAAACCGCGGGTAAGTTACCTTTATATCACGTATGATGCGAGGATAGAGCTGCTTGTAGAAGCGATTGGCGAAAAGGATGGCATCACTGGATTCAATCTCAGAGGGAGTTGCCGAACTGGAGGCAATCGCGGCATTAGGAGGACTATTCCAATCGCCAGACGGTGGTAAACCCGAGGGATGGCTGCAAGGGTCATCTGTTTGCGACGACGAGAGGAAATCTATTGCGGGCAGGTTGTGGGGCGTCCCATCGCCCCCACCGGGTCTGGCGTTTTCACTGAGGAGGGGAAAGTCGGAGAGGCGCTGTCGCAGTCCAAG